ATATGTACTTAATGTATATAAGTAACAGAATTTCTTTTTATATTTTGATTTATTAAATTATTTTCCAAAAATAACACAAGCTTAGAATAATCAGTTAGGAGCCAGACAAGGCGGTGCACACTTGTAATCCTAGTACTCAGGAGGCTGAGGCAGAAGGATCCCCTTGAGTCCAAGGACAACCTGGACTACGTAGCAAGACTCTGTCTCTAAAGAACAATAACAACAAACATATATGTGTGTGTGTTGCTCTTTGTATCAGTCTCTTTTAGATGTATCATACCACTGTAAGTTTAAAAACACAGTTCAAATACATTACAGAATGAATTGTATTTCCTCAAAATTTAAATATTGAAACCCTCAACTCCAACTTGACTCTATTTGGAGATCGGAATTAGGATAAAACCAATGTCCTTATAAGAGGAGGAAAAGATACCAAGGATTTTCATTTGTACACAAAGGAATGCCACATGAGTACACAAGATCAGGCGGCCACCTGTAAATCAAGGACATGGGTCTCAGAAAAAGCCAACCCTAGTGACAGTGATGTGTTAGTCTTGGACTCCCAGCCTCCCACACTGTGAAAAAATAAATATCTGTTGTTTAGAATACCCTGTCTGTGGTGTGTGGGGGGAGGTGCACCTCATAGTCCATGATATTTTGTTATGTAGTCTTAACATAGAACAGCAGATGTCTATCAAATTGGTTTGGTAGTGTTCTTTTTTATTTTATTATTTATTTATTTAGTATGGCACTGGAGATTGAACCCAGGACCTTTACATTGAGCTACATTCCAGGCTCAATTTTTTATTTTGAGACCGTGTCTTGCTGCACTGCCCAGGCTGGGCTGGTGCAAGCCCCCTGCCTCAGCCCCCAGAGTGCTGGGATTACAGGTACATGCCATCATGCCTGACCAGTAGTGTTCTTTCTTTAAGCCCTGAATACATACACAATAGCTCATAGCGCACATTGGGGGGAAAGTATGTATGGGTGTCTTAGATACTCTCTCTTTATTAGGGCAAAATACTCAACACTTACAATTTAAGAAAGGAAAATTTTATTTTAGCTCACAGTTTGTAGAGGTTTCAGTTCATCATCGGTTGGCTCCAAGGCAGGGCAGCACAGCAGAGAGGTATGGCAGAGGAGAAATAATCCATGACATGGCAGGCAGAAAGCAGAATGAGATCAAGGAAGAGAAAGGATATATATACTTCTAGGCCATGCACACAGTGACCCACCTCCTCCCACTAGGCTTCACCGGGCTGTAAAATCAGTGGACTGATCCACCTCTGAGTACCATGCCCCCGATCTAACCACCGCCTCCCACCCATCAGCACGTGAAACTTTGGGAGGACATCTAGATATAAAACATAACAGTGGCCCAGTTGATGAATTACATCAGATGTATACAATTTTTTCTTATGAGTCAGATATCTGGGAGGTGAGAACCTGACATTTAATTTTTTTCTTTTGTTTTGTTTTTTGAGACAGGGTCTCCCTCTGTAATTGAGACTGCCCTGGAACTTACTATGTAGCCCGGGCTGGTCTCAAACTCACAGCGATCCTCCTGTCTCAGCCTCCTGAGTGCTGGGATTACAGGTATGCACCACCATGCCCGGCTCTGCCATTTTAATTTTGATTTGTACATTGAATGGAACCCTTTTGTTTTGTTTGAAAAATTTTCAAGTTACTTCATCTTTAAATATACAACTAAATCCAAACAATATTGCTGTTAAGGCAATAGAAAACTGATAAAAAGCTCACTTAATCTGTTAGATCTTTATTCCTTTTCCTTTTTTTGTTTTTTGTTTTTGTTTTTGTTTTTGAGACAGGGTCTCACTATGTAGTTGAGACTGACCTGGAACTCACTGTGTAGCCCAGTCTGGTCTCAAACTCACAGCAATCCTCCTGCCTCAGCCTCCTGAGTGCTGGGATTACAGGCGTGCACCACCACACTCAGCTCTGTTAGATCTTTAAGAGTATACTATACCTGCTGATTTTTGTATGCAATGCAACAGTGAAATTTCCTTTTCCTATTTAACGATGGGCTCAATTTAGGGAAAAACTGAGTCATTGGACATACCGGTTGCAACAATCCATTGGTTTACTGTGAAATGGCTTAATTTACTGGGGGGGCACACTTCTCCATATTTGGAATGAGTCCCTGGGCTGGGGGGTGGTCATTGGCCCTCCCTACCTCAGGCTACCATCAACATCTCCAGGAAATTCAAAGCGACCAGAGCTGAGCTGGATGCATTTCCTAGGGGCTCTCTATAGCCACCTCACTTACTCCCTATGGCACCTGAGTCTGCACAGGCTGAGTTCTTGAGCCTGTAACCCAGGGAGCCAGTGTGCCTGCCTCAGCGGCACACTGCGGGTGCATTTGTTAAATAAAACCAAACTCAACTCCCCTGATAACATTTTTCCTCAAAATTGGAAGTTCTGCTGGGCACGGTGGGGTGGCACACACTCTGGGCAGTGGGAGCAGGGGGAGCTTTCAAACTTGAGCCTAGCCTGGGCAGTGTACTGATACATTATCCAAAGTAAAACTAAAAGGCTGGGATGTAGCTCAGTGGGAAGGCTCTGGGTTCAATCCCCACTATTTAGCGGGGCGGGGGGTAGAGGGATCTTTCAAAGAGTATTCTGAGGGTAAAGTTTTGTTTTGAATGTCAATAAAACTTCAATAAAACCAAATTTGATTTTTCTTGTTACTGTTGCACCCTCATGCCACGGTCATTTAAGAATTTACACCCGGCCAAAACATCTGGCGGGAAATACATATTTTAAGAAGAGCAAGAAATGCTTTGTCATTGCTGATGATGTCTGGACACATTGCCATCCATGCATGCTGCAGCTATCCCTCAAATCAACCACCCTGCTAAATAAAATCTGCTTTAAAATGTGAGTCCATAAGGACCTTAAGGAAGCTAAAATTATATTAATATAAACAAAATTCAGTTTATTTTTAATATTTTTTACTGAGGGCTCAAAACCAGGCCCAAACTTTTGAGTCTCAGGTTTCTCCTGAAGCCCAGTAGGAGACACAAACCCAAAAGCTGATTCTCTAGTAACGCTCCCAGCCCCCGCCCCTCGGCGCTCTCTCGTTCTCGCGAGAAGAGACGGCCCAGTTCTTCCGGTAACGCTGGACCTACCAGCTAGTTTTCGCGCACATGCAGTAGGGAGTGGCGCGAGCCTGGCGCTTCCGGCCAAAGATCATGGTGGGTTTTGGGGGTCGTTTTTGTTCTTCCTGGACGTAGCTTCCACGCGGGTCTCCAGAGTTCCGCGCCCGCTAATTTGCCTGGGGTTCAGCCAAAGGACGATGTGGCTCCTGTCCCGTCACTTGTACAGGAAGGGAGGAAAGAAGCGATAGGGGTGACAAAGTTTGTACTGAGGGACCCAGGAGGAAACTCTCAGAGCTTGGGCTGAGTGGCGGGATGGGGACGCCTCTGTGCTTTGGCTGCGACTCCGGGTAGCTAGAACAGGTTTCCTACTTGTCTATAAGTTAGGTCTGGCTAAACAGCGAAAAACATAAATCCCAACCAGGGATGCACCAGGCGGAATGCACTTTCCCCACCCTTAACTGTAGTTCCTTCACACCATGGGTTCTGCCTGTCTTTTTCATCAACACTCTCAGTGGAGCTCCCTGGGTGGGACAGCCCGAGTGAAGAATAATGAGGGTCAGACACAGTAACGGCTTCTGTGTGGGAGTGTCAGGGAACGGCTTCTATGATTTATAGGATATAGTAAATATTTCTCCTGAAACAGTACTTTGAGTTTCATAAATTAGCCCTCTATCTAGGCCTTATGACATACTCCAAAACGCGGAGTATTTACGGACATAATGACCAACCCTTAAATTACAAAATATGGCATTTTAATTTATTGCTAGTATTAAATTGCCTGAAATATAACTAGCTGGTTCTCTGAGAAGTGTAACTTGGTTCCCTTTTCATATACTGTTAAATGGGGGGTGCTGATAAAATGTTTAAAGATGTGGGAAAGCATATGCAGTTTTTCTTTGTAAAGGAAACACGTTTTCTTAAATGGAGTAGATTATTTTAATTCCTGTGCTTTTTCTTTTGAATAGATGCAAGGCGAGGCAACCCCTAAAGATTCCCTTATTGACAGGACCATTAAGATGAGAAAAGAAACAGAAGCTAGGAAAGTGGTTTTAGCCTGGGGCCTCCTAAATGTATCTATGGCTGGAATGATATATACTGAAATGTAAGTTAATCAGTCCAAAAAAGGTGAAAATCTAAGCCAGTGGTTCCAGAATTTTTTGTGTTTTAAGTTAATTGAAAAATCTTTCTTGTTTTTCAGGACTGGAAAATTGATTAGTTCATATTATAATGTGACATACTGGCCCCTTTGGTATATTGGTAAGTCATTTCCTAAAATTTAGATTTACCACCAACAGAAAAACTTGCTGACAGGTTTAATTCAGCTTAGTAGTTATTCCTACATTCAACAAATCCTGAATATCTACTATGTTCCCGATCTGGTAGTTCAGCAAGAAGGAACAAATGAAAACCCTCTTATGGAAGACACATTCTAGCAGAGGAGACAATCAAATTAAAAATACAAGTACAGATAATTATGAGTTCTGTGAAGAAAAATAAAATCGAGGGTAATAAGATTTATATTTGTTACTCTCCTGAAGTCCTGTCTCCATGTTTTCACCTTTCAAAAACAGCCCAGTTTTCTACTCCATGGGTGCTTCCTCAGTCTCCTCATCCCTTCCACTTCTCTGTCTCCTCTTCCATAATCCTGGGTATGAAAATTCTTACGGATGTTAAATTTCCTAGTCTGTACACATTAATGCCAAGTCTGCTGTGTGAACTGGTGTGGCAAGTGGTAGGGATTTGGAATCTGCAGACCTGAGTCTGAATCATGTCTTACTAGCTAGCTGTCTACCTGTAAAAAAAGTCATTTGAAGCCAGATGTGATGCACACCTATAAACCTCACACTCTGGGAGTCTGAGTCAGGTGCGTTGCCAGTAAGATGGTAAGGGTTAGTGATCGTTGGAAACTTATGGGTAAGTGTTCTAGACCTAATACACATTTATTAAATGTTACCTGTTAAGAGGAATAAGAAGGCAGTTTTCAATTTTGTTAATTGACTAAAGTATGGAGGGGTTTTGTTTCTCCATCCAATACATGCACCTCACCACCTTTTTAAAAAGAAATTATTCTCTTCCAGAGCTTGCCCTTGCATCTCTCTTCAGCCTTAATGCCTTGTTTGATTTTTGGAGATATTTCAAATATACTGTGGCACCGACAAGTCTCATTGTTAGCCCCGGACAACAAACACTTTTAGGGATGAAAACAACTGGTAAGTGTTTTATATACTGTAACTCTTGCAAAGGTAAGGAGAAGGTTGACAGTAAATATTTTTAAATTTAATTTTCCCTTTTCATAGACTCAGCTGGAAGGGTTTTTTTTGTTGTTGTTGTTTTGTTTTTAATTTCATTCCTCCCCTCCCCATGTACAAAAACTTTGTTTCTATTTTTTCCTTCTATTTTCACTTTCTCTTGTCTGGAAGGGATTTCTAAGACAGTCTGATTGAACTGTAGTAAATAGATTGATAGTAAATTTTCTTAAGACCAGTGATTACCATTCTTATTGGTATAAACTGAACAAAACTTAACATTCAGCAACCTAATGAAAGTTTATTCCATTGACTCCTTAAAATTAAATGACTATTGCTGCATTGAAGCCAGTGTCTTATTTTGAACTCTGTGGAAATAGTAAATGACTAATTATTGTCCTTTAGTAATGTATTAATTTGAAAATCAAATCCTTCTGTTACTTTTTTTCCTGAGGAGAAAAACAGTTCCAGCTGAGTATGCCAGTCCTTCTGTTCCTTTTTTCCCTGAGGAGAAAAACAGTTCCAGCTGAGTATGGCAGTGCAGGCCTATAATCCCAGCACTCTGAGAGGCTGAGATGGGAAATTGCAAGTTCAAGCCACTGTGGGCAATTCAGCAGACCCTGTCTCAAAAAAAAAAAAAGGCTGGGGATGTAGCTCCGTGCAGAGGTCTAGCTTTAGTTTTCAGTACAAACAACAAAAAAAAGTGTTCTTAAATCAGTTTGCATCAAAGTTTATTTAAACATGTGTAGATGTTTTCTTTTTTCTTTTTCTTCTAGTTGTGCAGACTACTCCTCCACGTGATCTAACAGCCACCCAGATCCCTCCCTCTCCACCTTCCCCTTCGATTCAGGGACAGAGTGTATTGAGTTATAGCCCATCTCGCTCGCCAAGTGCTAGTCCCAAGTTCACCACCAGCTGTATGACTGGATACAGCCCTCAGCTGCAAAGCATCTCCTCAGGTGGCAGTAGTTCTTACAGCTCTGGAGTGACCTACTCACCAGTCAGTGGTTATAATAAGGTAATGACTTTTTTAGCCAGTCACGTTAGTTTAGAATTGAGAGGTACATTGAAAATCACTAAGTGGTTGGAACTTATTATTTTATTGCCACGTGGTGGTGTACATCTGTAATTCCAGCACTCTGGAGGCTGAGGCAGGAAGATCACTGAGTTTCAGGCCACTCTGAACTGCATAGTGAGAGACCCTTTCCAAAAAGAAACTCATTGACGAGGAAACTGTTAACAATGGATAATTAACTTGCCTAAGTTACCCAGGTAAGAGCCAAGAATAGAACCCCAGTTTCCTGACACCTAGTCTGACATTCTTTAAATAGCATCTTAAAATGAAAGAAACATTAGCTTTTGCTAAGATAATGAAATGTGAGGTTCACCATCTAGAATCTTTTCAGTTTTGAAAACAAATTGAAATAATTTTTTAACTTTAGTTTCCTTTGCTCATGTTTTTCCCTCTTTTCTACACTATGTGAAACCTGTGTTTACTCTTACAGAATTGCAGTGCTTTTTATCATGTTGGAGACTACTACCTAGGGAAAACCTGGATTGTCATATAGTTTTTCACTAGACTACCAACACATTCCATGAATGAGTAGAAACCTTTTCAAATCCAAAGGAAGTATGGAGTTTTGCTCAGATTTTTAAGCTTATTAAAGCAGAATTTATAGATTGAAATTTTGTTCCCAAGGCATAAGATATGTGGGGACATCATTTCAGATGTTTCCAATATTGTGTGTCTCCTCTTACTCCTCCCCCCTTTTTTTTTGAGACAGGGTCTCACTGTGTAGTTTAGGCTGGCCTTGAATTCACTGTGTAGTACAAACTGGCGTCAAACTCAGTGATTCAGCCCCCGGAGTGCTGGGATTATAGGCCTGCACTGTGGCGCCAGCTTCTTTTAAAGTATAATATCTATTTGTGATGAAATTCCATGCTACCAGTTACCCAATATTGAAATCAGTTTTGGCATGTATTAGAATTTAAACTTTTTTTGTTGTTGTTGGATTGGGGAGGGGTGTTTTTTTTTTGTTTTGTTTTTGAGACAGAGTCTCACCGTATACTTCAGGCTGGCCTTGAGCTCACTATGCAGTCCAGGCCTGGAACTGGCCTTGAACTCACTGTGATCCTCCTGTCTCAGCCTCCCAAAAGCTAAGACTACAGGTATGCACCACCACGCACCCCACGCACCCATTGGCATTTAATAGAATTTTTAAAACTTTCCCTGGTACACACCCGTTAATCTGAGCATTAAGTCCTGTCTGAGCAATTTAGTGAGACCTTGCTTCAAAATAAAAGAGCTGGGGATTTAGCTCGGTGCAAAGACCCTAGGTTCAATCTTTAGTGCCACACACAAAAAAAAGAATTTAGAAAAATTTGTGTAAGTTAAATGTTATGAGAAAGTATGTGTATACAGTGATAATCACCCACAGGTAAATATGACTTTTTATTTAATTATTTGTTTATTTTTTGAGACAGGATCTCACTATGTAGTTGAGACTGACCTGGAACTCACTCTGTAGCCCAAGCTGGTCTTGAACTCACAGCAATCCTCCTGCCTCACCCTCCCAAGTGCTGGGATTATAGGTGTGCTCCACCATGCCCGGCAGATATGACTTTTTAAAATAATATTTTCATAAGAAAAGTACTTTATGATCATTATAGAAAATTAGAAAAATAAAATAGAGGGAAAACTATTCATTGTTCTACCATCCTAAAATAATCTGTTCAAGATACCATAGCGTACTCTTAAGTATTTTATTTTTTAAAAACTTGCTAATTTGCACTGAATAGCTCAGTACATAAAGTTCTTAATAATTTGGAGGCGGCTATCCAAAAGAATTTTACCAATTTACTTTATCACAGAAATGTCTGAGAGTATACATTGAGCTTTAGAAGTATACAGAGCCAATGAATGGATGAATGAATGAATAATCCTAAGAAATATAAAAGTTGCTAAGTGAAGAGAGAACATTTTCTTGAGTAAAAAGATATTGTCGTAGGACCAGGGATTTAGCTCCGTGGCACCATGCCTGCCTTGCAAGCACAAGGTGGTGAGTTCAATTCCCGGTACCAAAAAAAAAAAAAAAAAAAAAAAAAAAATAGT